CTACAAATTCATCATTTTGCACAATATTGTATCATATTTGATGAGTTACTGAACTGTCCGTACACAGGCTCGATGTGCTGTAGTCTCCACAACTGGACGCTCGCGCTCAGATCACACTGGCACAGGATGTCCATGCATTGGATGGTCTGAGGGATGCACTCATGTTGGACTGGTAAACAAAGACACATTTTGTCAGTGGTAGGTCTTTTTCAATGCTGTATCACCATCTTTATCCGTACAGAAAATGCATTGCTTATCATAACACAAACACACCTTGGACAATGTGACAAGTGGTACCTCAACACTCAATCCTCATGCCTCATTGTTGTTCTTCTTTCCCAATCAACAGTCTGGATTTTCCTCTTCTGTCATGGTGGATGAGCTACCTTTTCTGGTAAATACAGGGCCATTTCGCTTTCCCACCAGAAAATGGTGGTTGTAGACCAGAGTGTTGTCACTAGGTTTCTGATCCCCGCATCTGAAAGACAAAAAAAATATTTTATTTTACTAGCTAGCTAAATTGATTTCGAAAACGGTAACATCTACATTAAAATACCATAACCCACTGACTTGATTATAGTAACGATAAAATAGACTGGGCTTTGGTCTGTCTGCACATCTAAAATCCTACTATGTGGATGGGACATTTCTGCTGGGATGGAGGAATTATCTGGAATGCTCAACTAGATGATCAGGACAGTCTAGGGTACTATTTGCCTGAAGAGGTAAAGTATTGCGATGAACTGTACTTCTGATTCTAATTCTCAAGAGGAAAGTTAAAACCCTCAGCCGTGAGGTCACTGAGGAGGACCAACAGTGATAGGGGGATGTGAGGTCACTGAGGAGGACCAACAGTGATAGGGGGATGTGAGGTCACTGAGGAGGACCAACAGTGATAGGGGGATGTGAGGTCACTGAGGAGGACCAACAGTGATAGGGGGATGTGAGGTCACTGAGGAGGACCAACAGTGATAGGGGGATGTGAGGTCACTGAGGAGGACCAACATTGATAGGGGGATGTGAGGTCACTGAGGAGGACCAACAGTGATAGGGGGATGTGAGGTCACTGAGGAGGACCAACAGTGATAGGGGGATGTGAGGTCACTGAGGAGGACCAACAGTGATAGGGGGATCGTCTGAAAGGGACTGACATGCAGGGATGGAACATAAGGATTTTGGACATTGGCCAGCAGACCACGATTTCTACTAGCAACATTCAGGTCCTAAATCTGTGGCATGCAATGTTTGTAAAGGCAGAATTTCACTGCTGAGTCAGGCTAGTTTGGCACATTTTCTACTAGCCATTTACTGCTGTGTCAGGCTAGTTTGGCACATTGTCTACTAGCCCAATCTGAAAAGTACTAGCCTCGGGCTAGCTTAATTTCCATCCCTGCTGACATGTATAACTGACACAGTTCATTTGATTAGTCATGTACAACAGATGCATTCATGGAACAGAACCGTTCGTGTTTTGTATGGGAAAACATTGAGCCCACAAGTGTGAGGACAGACGCTGGGAGACGAGAAGCAAGTACAGGGAGTGAACATTTAATATAAACAGACATGAAACCAAACAGGGACAGGGTCTGGACAGGGGAAACAAAGACATTAATGCTGACACGGGGATCACAACTGAGGAACAGACAGATATAGGGGAGGTAACTCTCCCGAGTGGCGCAGTGGTCTAAGGCTGTGCCACTAGAGATCCTGGTTCGAATCCAGGCTCTGTCGTAGCCGGCCGCGACTGGGAGACCCATGGGGCGGCGCACAATTGGCCCAGTGTCGTCCAGGGTAGGGGAGGGAATGGCCGGCAGGGATGTAGCTCAGTTGGTAGAGCATGGCATTTGCAACACCAGGGTTGTGGGTTCGATTCGCATGGGGGGCCCGTATAAAAAATAATGTATGCACTCACTAACTGTAAGTCGCTCTGGATAAGAGCGTCTACGAAAATTACTGTAAATGTAATTAAACAGTGATTGAGTCCAATGAACGTAACGATGGCCCATAATAATGGGGGGAGGGTGAGCGGGAGCAGGCGTGACAACAAGTCCTTTGTGAGCTATTGTTGGCTCACTGTTCGTGTACACACTTTTCCACGTGGTGACATGCTAGCTAATCCCACCAGGGCAGGGATATTTAACTTTAGTTGTTAGCTCAGTGTTCGTGTAGTCAGACTTTTCCCCAGACCCCACGGCTGGTGACATGCTAGCTAGTCCACCAGGGCAGGGATATTTAATGTTAGCTAGTTAGCACTAATTGCTAAGGTTAGGCACAATCGCTAGCATTTCACCGCCTGTTGGGAAAGTCTGACTACACCATGGTGAGAGACGGTGCAACGTTAGCTAGCTTACGTTAGCTAATGTAGCCAACTAGCCAACCAAGGTGCCTAACTAGTTTGCGGCAGGATGTGTAGTTCTGTATGATAGCCACATTAGCGACCAATTAGCATTTCATTTTTGGGGGGTAATTACAGGTGAATATATTGATAAAAGTTACCTTGTCCGAGAGAGATTTGTGCGGTTATCAAAACGTCACGCCAGGGTAAGCCTACACGAAACACAGACCTTATGTGAAGAAGTTCTAAAATCCCCTACAGAAGAATGAATGGTGGAAAAACGATTGGAACCATTTCCGGGTTTTACCGCTAGGTTTTATGGGTATTATGACTCATTCTGTGGTACTAAATTGTGTAGGCTATATTTAAATAATAAATGCTAGTGACTCCTTACTCTGCCCACTTCATTCACTGCAATGCAATACACTGTTTATGGGATACTTTTTCTTAGCCAATTATCTACTCCACATTCAAAGTTTATGTTCTCAAAATTGCAGTCAGTGCAAGAAAGCCATGTATAGCCAGGGTAAAAAACTATTATAATATTTCAGTCAGGTAGAATTTTTCTATCTCTACAAGCCAATATGTATCCCATGTACAGTCTATTACAGTGTATTGCATTGGGGGCTATGGAGGGGTGGAGGGAAAAGCCAGAAGCAGGCCGTGCGACATAGTCCCCATCCAAAACTAATCATATTTGGTTAGTACAGACCCTACTGCGTATTTCCCACCCCACTTTAGCTGAGAGGTAGAAAATATTTATCTCTACAAGCCTATATCAAATAAAATAAAATAAAAATTGCCACATGCACCGAATACAACAGGTGTAGACCTTACCATGAAATGCTTACTTACAAGCCCTTAACCAACAATGCAGTTCAAGAAATAGAGTTAAGAAAATATTTACTAAATAAACTACAGTAAAAATGTTAAAGTAACACAATAAAATAACAAGGCTATATACAGGGGGTACCGGTACCGAGTCAATGTGCGGGGGTGGGGAGGAGTCAATGTAAATAGTCCGGGTGGTCATTTGATTAATTGTTCATCAGTCTTATGGCTTGGGGGTAGAAACTGTTAAGGAGCCTTTTGGAACTAGACTTGGCGCTCCAGTACCGCTTGCCGTGCGGTAGCAGAGAGAACAGTCTATGACTTGGGTGGCTGGAGTCTTTGACAATTTTTTGGGCCTTCCTCTGACACCGCCTAGTATACAGGTCCTGGATGTCAGGAAGCTTGGCCCAAGTGATATATCAGTGATGTTTCCAATGTACATTTTTCATTTAAGTCATTTAGCAGACGCTCTTATCCAGAGTGACTTACAGTTAGTGAGTGCATAAATTTTTCATATACCATGTATAGTCTATTACAGTGTATTGCATTGGGGGCTATGGAGGGGGTGGAGAATGAAGTGCTGCTGGATATGTACTACACAGTCCACCTCCAAAACTACAAATATTTGGTTAGTAGAGACCCTACTGAGTATTTTCCACCCCACTTTAGCTGAGACAGGTAGAATACGTTTTTTAAAACATATTTTTTATTTGTTTTCATAAATTACTTATTGCATTTTCTTGTTGGCACAATAAAAGTGGCCATTGATAAAAATGCAATATCTTTTGAATGAGTTATCCACATTGCAATGTTTTGAAATATGGGCTTTTATTTTAAAGGTTTCCTCATTACCATACGAACGTGACGTCATCATTTGTCCTGCTGGCAGAATACTGGTAGCTTGAGACCTGCAACTTGCCCTTTTAAAATAGCACTCTCATGAGTCACTGCAAAACTGGCTGTTAAAGGCTACATGGTCAATCTGGAGTCTGCATTGGCCGTGCAGCATTTACGGTGATATGGCCTCTGCAGAAGTCAGGGCTGCACGGAGAAGCGCTGTTGTGAAGGAAGTTGTCAAGGAAGTGAGTTTGTGTTTATACAGGACCTCCCGCCCACACCTACCGTCAACCAATCATGTCAATACGGAGCTATTCAGAGCCCTCCACATTGTTACACAATTTGAGAAGCGCACAGCGATGCGGTACGGAGCTCAATTTGGCCTCTGCGTGCCTCGCGATTGCGTCACACTAGCCGTACAGCGTCTCCGACCACATTTTCAGATCAAGCATAAATTATTTTACTGTTACGAGAGTTCGTTCTTATAGTCAGAAGGGGTAGCAGAGTAGCGTTTTCAATAAGATTTTTGTTGAATCGGAGGTTTTTTCAGTCGACATTGCTGTCCTAATCGATGGCGCCTAGGCAGCTGAAAACATGTGCTCAGAATGTCATTCTGCATGATGTGATGGGAATATCGCTCCACTTTGTATTTTTCCCCAAGGACGGCTGAAAGATTTGGATAGGCTATGATTTTCTGCTAAACGAATGGCGTTGCTTGTAGTGTAAAATTGGATTATGAAACGATGCCTCTTTCTTGCTGACCTGACTCACTGTCCCTCTGGACTGTTTAGATTTTGTCTTTCATTTTCACAAAAGGTCTTTGCTCCACATGCAAATCTCGAACGACAAATGTGCACAATACGGAATGATATAGGGCTGAACGGGTGACGTCAGTTTAGTGTGCTCAGACTGTAGATTCTGGTCCCATGGATGTGACTCGACGGGAATACTGTAGTGATTTGCCATTCCAGCCCGAGCGCGTCCTACTAACGGAATCATGATGCCCAGAGGTTTACGGAGACTCGTGCACCTGGTGCTGTTTTGCCCTATGTCGAAGGGGCTGCAGGTGGGACCACTACCTGAGATTTGGCTGCGTTTTTTTACCCTATATGCAATCAGATCGTCACAAATAAGAGTATTCTCTCTCTATTTACATGTACATCATTTAGCAGACTCTCTTATCCAGAGTGACTTACAAATTGGTGCATTCAACTTATGATAGCCAGTGGGACAACCACTTTTTTTCTTATTTTTTTATGAGGGGGGGGGGGTAGAAGGATTACTTTATACTATTCCAGGTATTCCTTAAAGAGGTAGGGTTTCAAGTGTCTCCGGAAGGTGGTCAGTGACTCCGCTCTCCTGGTGTCGTGGGGGAGCTTGTTCCACCAGTTAAAAATGTTACTTTGTAGATGCCCGTCTCTGATATGTCACTACGGACAACAGTAAATACAGGTTCCAATGGCTCATTGAGTTAGAGCATGCTGCTGGCCAAATCAGGGTTGTGAGTTTTCTTCCCGCAATGGCCATGCTGTCAATGCTGATAGTTCTGTATTTCGCATTGGATAAAAATGTCTTCCACAAGACCATATTATATTATTATAATGATTGCTTAGATTTGTCAGTGTCTTTCTGGCCTAAAACCCCTCTCTTCCTTAGTATGTGTGTCTTGTTTGGGATAAACAAGAAGACACATTTTTGTAGGACTGTGGACTTTGGTCAATGAATAATCTTCTCCTCTCCTGTGTAGAGTCGTCTCCCGGCGTTAAAGGTGAAGTACCTGCTGCTGGCCTGGCTGGGGATCCTGGTGGCCAGCTGGGTCCTCTACATGCAGTACGCCTCCTACTCAGAGCTCTGCCGAGGACATGTCTGCCACATGGTCATCGTAAGTATGAAACAGCATGAACACCCTGACACCTCTCACGAAGGAAGGAGAAAGAGAGAGTGGGAGTAAGGGATCGGAAGAAAATATAAAGGGACTGGGAGGAAGGGGGCAGGTGTGCTTTAGCCCACAACACCTTGATGAAACACTAAGGTCTGACATGGAAATGGACAGATGGAAAGAGTGAATGAGAAAAAGGGGAGTCTGTATTTTATGTGTCAGTGGCTGCTGAGTGCAGGATGGTTCCTCTTATAATACAGTTGCAAATTGGAACCAGGAAAAAGTCATTAACAGAATACCTGATAAGAGTAATTAACACTGGATGAGAAATCAGTTATGTAACATTTACATTTACATTTTAGTCATTTAGCAGACGCTCTTATCCAGAGCGACTTACAGGAGCAATTAGGGTTAAGTGCCTTGCTCAAGGGCACATTTACGTCATTTAGCAGACGCTCTTATCCAGAGCGACTACAAATTGGTGCATTCACCCTATAGCCAGTGGGATAACCACTTTACAATTATACAATTATATTATTTTGGGGGGGGGGGGGTAGAAGGATTACTTTATCCTATCCCAGGTGTTCCTTAAAGAGGTGGGGTTTCAAATGTCTCCGGAAGGTGGTGAGTGACTCCGCTGTCCTGGCGTCGTGAGGGAGCTTGTTCCACCATTGGGGTGCCAGAGCAGCGAACAGCTTTGACTGGGCTGAGCGGGAACTATGCTTCCGCAGAGGAAGGGGAGCCAGCAGGCCAGAGGTGGATGAACGCAATGCCCTCGCCTGGGTGTAGGGACTGATCAGAGCCTGAAGGTACGGAGGTGCCGTTCCCCTCACTGCTCCATAGGCAAGCACCATGGTCTTGTAACGGATGCGAGCTTCAACTGGAAGCCAGTGAAGTGTGCGGAGGAGGGGGGTGACGTGAGAGAACTTGGGAAGGTTGAACACCAGACGGGCTGCGGCATTCTGGATGAGTTGTAGGGGTTTAATGGCACAGGCAGGGAGCCCAGCCAACAGCGAGTTGCAGTAATCCAGACGGGAGATGACAAGTGCCTGGATTAGGACCTGTGCCGCTTCCTGTGTAAGGCAGGGTCGTACTCTCCGAATGTTGTAGAGCATGAACCTGCAGGATCGGGTCACCGCCTTGATGTTGGCGGAGAACGACAGGGTGTTGTCCAGGGTCACGCCAAGGCTCTTCGCACTCTGGGAGGAGGACACAACGGAGTTGTCAACCGTGATGGCGAGATCATGGAACGGGCAGTCCTTCCCCGGGAGGAAGAGCAGCTCCGTCTTGCCAGGGTTCAGCTTGAGGTGGTGATCCGTCATCCATACTGATATGTCGGCCAGACATGCAGAGATGCGATTCGCCACCTGGTTATCAGAAGGGGGAAAGGAGAAGATTAGTTGTGTATCGTCAGCGTAGCAATGATAGGAGAGGCCATGTGAGGATATGACAGAGCCAAGTGACTTGGTGTATAGGGAGAAAAGGAGAGGGCCTAGAACTGAGCCCTGGGGGACACCAGTGGTGAGCGCACGTGGTGCGGAGACAGCTTCTCGCCACGCCACTTGGTAGGAGCGACCGGTCAGGTAGGACGCAATCCAGGAGTGAGCCGCACCGGAGATGCCCAGCTCGGAGAGGGTGGAGAGGAGGATCTGATGGTTCACTGTATCAAAGGCAGCAGACAGGTCTAGAAGGACAAGAGCAGAGGAGAGAGAGTTAGCTTTAGCAGTGCGGAGAGCCTCCGTGACACAGAGAAGAGCAGTCTCAGTTGAATGACCAGTCCTGAAACCTGACTGGTTTGGATCAAGAAGGTCATTCTGAGAGAGATAGCAAGAGAGTTGGCTAAAGACGGCACGCTCAATAGTTTTGGAAAGAAAAGAAAGAAGGGATACTGGTCTGTAGTTGTTGACATCAGTGGGATCGAGTGTTGGTTTTTTGAGAAGGTGTGCAACTCTCGCTCTCTTGAAGACGGAAGGGACATGGCCAGTAACAGAGTGGCTGCATCCAAAATGGCATCTTATTCCCTCAGGCTCTTTCCAAAAGTTGTGCATGAAACAGGGAATAGGATGCCATTTAATGATAGCCAAGCCACAGGGGAAGTGACTCTACTCTAGTTTCATTAAGCATTGTTCCCTGTAGCTCAATTGGTAGAGCATGGCGCTTGTAACGCCAGGGTAGTGGGTTCGATCCTGACTGTAAGTCGCTTTGGATAAAAGTGTCTGCGAAATGGCATATTATAAACAGTGATGACAAATAACCAATCATTCCCAGAACAACCACATCAGCATAGTTTCATTTCCCTCGTCACATACTTTACATTTCAGGTTGAATATAAGCAGCAAGGGTGAGATCCCTGTGAAATATTACATCTAGGGGAGTGTTTGTTTCTCAGCAGTCAGCACACACATATTCAGAAGTAAAGGATCGAGAGAGAGAGAGGTGAAGGGTAAAGATTATTGGCCAGCCTGAGGTGGTCCTGGTTTGGTGTCTTTATCTATGTATGGTGTTATTGTGATAAATAAGGCAGTACTATCGTGCCCTACTCTTCCTTATGCTGTGAGAGGGAGAGACAGGCTGTCTGTCTCAGGTCATACAAGACAGGGAAAACAGTGTCTGGAAAGGGGAAACATGGATAGAGGGAAGGAAAGAGTGAGAGAAAGAGAAGGAGGGACGAAGACGAAGAGTGTGTGTGAGAGAGAGAGAGAGAGAGAGGGGGCGAGTGTAAAAGAGAGGAGTGAGAGAAGAGTGTTGTCATTGTTGTGTGTGCCCCCCTAGGCTAATATGCACATTACTGCGACATTAAGGACGACTGGGCCTTTAATTGTTCGGCTCGCAACCAAAGTGGGCAAAATAAAGTTATATTACCATAGCAACTGTTATACATTGGAGAAAGAGGTCACAGCCTTTATTTGTCAATGTTGTTTAGCAAGAGTGAAACTGTTAGGGTGGATCTCTTCTTACTGTGGCGCTAGCTACTGGAGCAGTGGAGTTAGCTACAGGCTGACGTGCTGCCTGGATGTTTCCTAAGCAAGATAATCTCACACCCACACACACATGCCAATTTATGCGGTGACTTTACTTCTCCTTTGTGCTTCTGCAAACAGTCTTTTAGAGATATTTTTTTGGGGGTTGGGGTATATCGCTACACAGTGCCAACAATGGTTTCCAGCTCTGGGTGGACTAAATATAACCGATACATGTGTATGAACACATAAGCCATCTCACAGGGGGCAAAAATAAGTTGACATTGTGTGGAAACTGGAAAATCCTCACCATTGACATCTACAGTATTTAAAAAGCTATGGTTTGCGTGCGGGTGGGTATCTCCACCTGGGATTTTGGGCCATAGTACATATGAGGGAGAGATGGTCATGGCTAGAAGGGATAAAGCATTTGTCAAATTGTCCCCCAATTTTTTGTGTGCATTTTAGCTAACCCTAACCCATTTCCTAACTTTTACCTAATTCACCTAACCTGCTACGTAAGTTATCCTAACCTGCTAGATTGTAGGATCCTTGGATCCTCTTCCTGTTGATAATGTGATGATGCATTTCCTGTTTCCTGTCTGTCTGTCTCAGTGTGACCACTACAGGAGAGGCATTATCTCAGGGTCGTCCTGCAAGGCCCTGTGTGAGGAGAGGAGCCTGACCCTGCAGCGATGCAAGTCCACCTCCTCCACACACCAAGTAGGTAACACATACACACACACACCAGTGGAGGCTCATAATAATGGCTGGAATGGAGTTTAATGGATGGAATGGAGTCAAACCCATGAAAACCATGTTTTTGATACCATTCCAATACTCCATTCCAGACATTATTATGAGCTGTTTTCCACTCAGCAGCCTCCATTGTCACACACACATCAGGTAATAGGAATGCACACACACTCTATCTCTATGTAATGTGTATTTACCTGTGGTTCCAGATGTACAGTGGTCTGTGGAAGGACAGGCCTGTGGTGATAAAGTGTGGTCTGGAAGAGCCTCTGAAGGGGGACGGGGCTCCTGACTCTGTACTGAGACAGGAAATGACCCTGTTTGACAAGCCCACCCGCGGGACCTCCATGGATGAGTTCAGAGAGATGTTGCACAGCTTTCTCAAGGTCTGGCTGCCCATTTCACTTCCTCTCTGTCCTCACAGTTAGATTAGATCTTTCCACAATATACATGTTGGTTGTTTAGCAACAAAACCTTGGCTTGCGCAACTATGGGGCAAAACAGACGGGGTTGGCTTAGATAGAAGCTATATTTCGTGACCAATGTTTATTGAAAACTTAAATAGATTTGTACAATGAGTACTTGTCTTTCAAATAAATCGTTACAGTTGTTGGTGAGCTAGCTAGCGAATTTGAACCATATTAGCATTGACATGAAATCAGTCAAAACACCTCAAAACAAGACATGGTATCAATAACAAGATGAAACGAGCAATTTACGATTCCCCACATGGCAGTTTCTTGTCATTTTTGCTAGCAATCTGGCCATCCAGAATCACAACAACAGGCTGACATCTGCCCCATGGAAGCGCGCACAAAATGTATGCACTCACTAACTGTAAGTCGCTCTGGATAAGAGAGTCTGCTAAATGACTAAAAATGTAAAAAGAAATGTATGGAACGCCGTTTGTGTCTCTGCGTGTCAAAAAAGATACACGTCAGATAACAATATTTGATGTGTCAAATAAGCTTGTTGACCAATCAGGACCTGAATATGACTGCACGTCACATAACAATTTAACACATTCAAACAAATTTTACGTAGTTATTACACTATCACTCGTATTTCATATGTCACAACGACTCATCGATACGTATTCTATGACGCTGGTAAAGTTTTGTCTCGCGCACCTGCCCTTCCCGAGCTTTGGACAGTGCTGGTCATAAAAAAAGCTAGCTAACGTTAGCTGATGGATGCAAACAATGTTCTTCCCCAAAAACATAGCAAAACGACATAATCTGTTTCAGTAGCTATAGTTAGCTAGCTAACTATCTAGCTAGGTGTCAATATAACTTTTCTTATTTGATTAATGGTGGTTGGGACCCACCTATGTGAAGCTAGCCACAATAAGGATTAGCCACAATAGTGGAATTTGCAGTTAGCCTTCAAAATAAAAGTATGTCATTGACATTTAAGTCATTTAGCAGACGCTCTTATCCAGAGCGACTTATAGTTAAGTGAGTGCATACATTTTCATACTGACCCCCTGTGGGAATCAAACCCACAACCCTGGCGTTGCAAACGCCATGCTCTACCAACTGAGCTACATCCCTGCCGGCCATGCCCTCCCCTACCCTGGATTGTGCTAATTGTGCGCCGCCCCATGGGTCTCCCGGTCGCGGCCGGCTACGACAGAGTCTGGATTCGAACCAGGATCTCTAGTGGCACAGCTAGCACTGCGATGCAGTGCCTTAGACCACTGCGCCACTCGGGAGACTTACTCACATCGACGGTGATGCGAATGAATACAAATAGTGGAATTATGCCATGGATCATGCTAAACGATGTTGGATTGTTGCAATTTAACACAACCCCTCTGAGAGAGAGAGAGAGAGAGAGAGAGACTGACTGACTGACTGACTGACTGACTGACTGACAGACAGACACTCTCTCTCTCTCTCTCTTGAAGGCCGGTGCCAAATACACTGCTCCAAAAAATAAAGGGAACACTTAAACAACACATCCTAGATCTCAATGAATGAACTAATCTTATTAAGTAATTTTTTCTTTACATAGTTTAATGTGCTGACAACAAAATCACACAAAAATTATCAATGGAAATCAAATGTATCAACCCATGGAGGTCTGGATTTGGAGTCACCCTCAAAATTAAAGTGGAAAACCACACTACAGGCTGATCCAACTTTGATGTAATGTCCTTAAAACAAGTCAGAATAAGGCTCAGTAGTGTGTGTGGCCTCCACGTGCCTGTATGACCTCCCTACAACGCCTGGGCATGCTCCTGATGAGGTGGCGGATGGTCTCCTGAGGGATCTCCTCCCAGACCTGGACTAAAGCATCCGCCAACTCCTGGACAGTCTGTGGTGCAACGTGGCGTTGGTGGATGGAGCGAGACATGATGTCCCAGATGTGCTCAATTGGATTCAGGTCGGGGGAACGGGCGGTCCATAGCATCAATGCCTTACTCTTGCAGGAACTGCTGACACACTCCGGCCACATGAGGTCTAGCATTGTCTTGCATTAGGAGGAACCCAGGGCCAACCGCACCAGCATATGGTCTCACAAGGGGTCTGAGGATCTCATCTCGGTACCTAATGGCAGTCAGGCTACCTCTGGCGATCACATGGAGGGCTGTGCGGCCCCCCAAAGAAATGCCATCCCACACCATGACTGACCCACCGCCAAACCGGTCATGCTGGAGGATGTTGCAGGCAGCAGAACGTTCTCCACGGCGTCTCCAGACTCTGTCACGTCTGTCACATGTGCTCAGTGTGAACCTGCTTTCATCTGTGAAGAGCACAGGGCGCCAGTGGCGAATTTGCCAATCTTGGTGTTCTCTGGCAAATGCCAAACGTCCTGCACGGTGTTGGGCTGTAAGCACAACCCCCACCTGTGGATGTCGGGCCCTCATACCACCCTCATGGAGTCTGTTTCTGACCGTTTGAGCAGACACATGCACATTTGTGGCCTGCTGGAGGTCATTTTGCAGGGCTCTGGCAGTGCTCCTCTTGCTCCTCCTTGCACAAAGGCGGAGGTAGCGGTCCTGCTGCTGGGTTGTTGCCCTCCTACGGCCTCCTCCACGTCTCCTGATGTACTGGCCTGTCTCCTGGTAGCGCCTCCATGCTCTGGACACTACGCTGACAGACACAGCAAACCTTCTTGCCACAGCTCGCATTGATGTGCCATCCTGGATGAGCTGCACTACCTGAGCCACTTGTGTGGGTTGTAGACTCCGTCTCATGCTACCACTAGAGTGAAAGCACCGCCAGCATTCAAAAGTGACCAAAACATCAGCCAGGAAGCATAGGAACTGAGAAGTGGTTTGTGGTCACCACCTGCAGAACCACTTCTGTATTGGGGGTGTCTTGCTAATTGCCTATAATTTCCACCTGTTGTCTATTCCATTTGCACAACAGCATGTGACATTTATTGTCAATCAGTGTTGCTTCCTAAGTGGACAGTTTGATTTCACAGAAGTGTGATTGACTTGGAGTTACATTGTGTTGTTTAAGTGTTCCCTTTATTTTTTTGAGCAGTGTATAACCCAACACGTCATTGTCAGTACAATGGCTCCACTCTCAGCCTAATAGAGACAGGCTGAGAGTGGGGAAGGGAATCATATTAGTGTCGCTCCCTGACAATTATCTAATGGAAGTTGTATGGAAGAAATCTAGCACATTTCAATCATGCCACACAGTCTTGTTTTTATTACAGTGTGTACGACTAACTGAACTGAACTGTTGAATTGTTTTTGTTTGTCTATTTGTGTTCTTTAAATAGCATTCAGTGGCCAGCTTATTAGGTACACCAAGTTTCACCATCCAATGGTTTCACGAAAATGGTTTGCCCCTACAGACCGTAGCTATGTTTCCATTAACTTGTCCAGTGATTTTTTTGTCAACATGTAGAACATTTGAATAGAAAATAAATGTGACAATTGCCTGCTAGGTTGCGTTTCCATTTAACTATCTTCTGTCGATAAAAACAGCTGGATGTAATGACGTCACACCTAAACAAAACAAAAACCTAGTGTCGAATAAAAATGTAGTGGTTGAAGTGTTACCATTACCAATTTAGGCAAATTGCGCTTTAGTAAATTGGCGACAGTTGTATGCTCTCCCACCTATCTGTTTCATGTCTCAGGTAGCCTGCGAAAGCCAGCATGCAATAATTGACTAATATTTGCAACATTCTAATAATTCTCATGTGCCTAACGTATCGCCACGGATCGGCTGCCAAGGCTAGTCCGTGCCATGGTGAAACGTGCACTCCTGTAGAGTTGAAATAATTGGATGGTGAAACTTGCCAGCCAACCAGAAAAGCAAGGTGAAGCAATTCAGGCATTCTTGAAAGTCAGGACAATCTTTGTCCTGCAAAGAAACATTATTTTTATAGTTGAAAAAAATAGTTTTGCAAGCAGTAGGCATTTAGAATTAATTATGGAGTGGAGCTTATAGTGAAGTGATGACATAACGTGCCCCGCGTACCTTCAAAAGTATTCGGCAAGCATCATTTATTAGAGAAACAGTTTCCATCATCATTTGTCGCTATAAAGAAAGTTAGACAAAATAAAAATCCACCCGTCGAACGGATAAAAATGTTGTCGATCTTTAAAAAAAAATCATCCTATATCTGCCGTTTCCATTATTAATTTTTTTTGCGTCATTGCTTTTGTCGAATAAACCTGGGTCAATGGAAACTACCTATTGAGTCACGTGGCCGTGGCTTGCTATATAAACCAGGCAGACGGGCATCCATTCAAATTAGTGGATTTGGCTATTTCAGCCACACCCGTTGCTGACAGGTGTATAAAATCAAGCACATTTCCATAGACAAACACTGGCAGTAGATTGGCCTTACTGACGAGCTCAGTGACTTTCAACGTGGCACCGTCATAGGATGCCACCTTTCCAACAAGTCAGTTCGTCAAATTTCTGCCCAGCTAGAGCTGCCCCGGTCAACTGTAAGTGCTATTTTTTGTGAAGTGGAAACATCTAGGAGCAACAATGGCTCAACTGCGAAATGGTAGGCCACACAAGCTCACAGAACGGAACCGCCGAGTGCTGAAACGCGTAGCTCGTAAAAATCGTCTGTCCTCGGTTGCAACACTCACTACCGAGTTCCAAACTGCCTCTGGAAGCAACATCAGCACAATAACTATTCGTCAGGAGTTTCCATGGCCGAGCAGCCGCACACAAGCCTAAGATCGCCCTGCATAATGCCAAGTGTTGGCTGGAGTGGTGTAAAGCTCACCACCATTGGGCTCTGGAGCAGTGGAAACGCATTCTCTGGAGTGATGAATCACGCTTCACCATCTGGCAGTCCGATGGACGAATCTGGGTTTGGCGGAAGCCAGGAGAACGCTACCCGCCCCAATGCATAGTGCCAACAGTAATGTTTGGTGGAGGAGGAAACATTTTCTGGGGCTGTTTTTCATTGGTTCGGGCTAGGCCCCTTAGTTCCAGTGAAGGGAAATCTTAACGCAAAACCATACAATTACATTCTAGACGATTCTGTGCTTCCAACTTTGTGGCAACAGTTTGGGGAAGGCCCTTTCCTGTTTCAGCATGACAATGCCCCCGTGCACAAAGCGAGGCACATACAGAAATGGTTTGTTGAGATGGGTGTGGAAGAACTTGACTGGCCTGCACAGAGCCCTGACCTCAACCCCATCTAACACATTTGGAATGAATTGGAAAGCCAACTGTGAGCCAGGCCTAATTACCCAACATCAGTGCCCCGACCTCACTAATGCTCATGTGGCTGAATGGAAGCAAGTCCCCATAGCAAATGTTCCAACATCTAGTGGAAAGCCTTCCCAGAAGAGTGGAGGCTGTTATAGCAGCAAAGGGGGGAATATTTAATGCCCATGATTTTGGAATGAGATGAACCAAAATTGTGTATAAACTATTATACCAGAGATTTTGCAATGATTCCTATGTCGAAGATGTGAAAAATATTTGTTGGTCTGATGTGTCTAATGAGGAACATCCGTACGCTGCACTTGAAGCATTTATGAAACCGCTTCTTCCGGTTACTGATAGTTTCTTGATGGGTGCATGCCTGACTGTTAGAACTGCCAAATCCCCATGGATAAATGATGAATTTAAAAACTGTATGGCTGAGAGGAATGAGGCAAAGGGAATAGCAAATAGGTCTGACAACACAGCAGACTGGCAAACATACAGTCAATTGAGAAATCACGGAACTAAACAAAAAGAAGAAGAAACTATACTATGGAACAAAGATAAATTATATAAAGAATGATAGTAAAAATCTCTGGAGTACTGTAAATGAAATTCTAGGCAAAAAAGCGAACTCAGCTCCATCCTTCATTGAGGCAGATGGCTTGTTCATAACAAAACCCTTTGATATTGCCAACCACTTTAATAACTTTTTTGTTGACAAGATTAGCAAACTCAGGCATGACATGCAAACAACACATGCTGAGCCTTAATATTCATGCATAATGGACCATATAATGAAAGACAAGCACTGTCGTATAATGAAAGACAAGCACTACGAAACCCCTACCTGTCCCAGACCTGCTGTTTTCAACTCTAAATGATCGGCTATGAAAAGCCAACTGAGAGACCTGAGCCCTAGGACCATACGTCGGGACTACCGGCCGTGGTGACTCCTTGCTATCCCCAGTCCGCCTGGCCTTGCTGCTATTCCAGTTTAAACTGTTCTGCCTGCGGTTATGGAACCCCTACCTGTCCCAGACCTGCTGTTTTAAACTCTAATGATCGGCTATGAAAAGCCAACTGAGATTTATTCCTGATTATTATTTGACCATGCTTGTCACTTATGAACATTTTTGAACATCTTGGCATGGTTCTGTTATAATCTCCACCCGGCACAGCCAGAAGAGGACTGGCCACCCCTCATAGCCTGGTTCCTCTCTAGGTTTCTTCCTAGGTTTTGCCTTTCTAGGGAGTTTTTCCTAGCCACCGTGCTTCTACACCTGCATTACTAGCTGTTTGGGGTTTTAGGCTGGGTTTCTGTACAGCACTTCGAGATATTAGCTGATGTAAGAAGGGCTATATAAAATAAAATTGATTGATTGATTGTCGTTTTGAGTTCCACCAAGGTAAATTGCTGAGGTTGGTAGCAGAATACATTGTGACTCCTGTTTGCCACATCTTCAATTTAAGCCTAGAAGGTGTGTGCCCTCAGACATGGAGGGAGGCAAAGGTCAATCCGCTACCCAAGAATAGCAGAGCACCCTTTAATGGTTCAAACAGCCGACCTATCAGCCTGTTACAAGTGCTTAGCAAACTGGAAAAAATTGTGTTTTATCAAATACAATGTTATTTTACATTAAACAAATTAACAACAGACTTTCAGCGTGCTTATAGGGAAGGGCACTCAACATACTCGGCACTGACACAAATGACTGATGATTGGCTGAAAGAAATTGATAGTAAGATTGTGGGAGCTGTTTTGTTAGACTTCAGTGCAGCTTTTGACACTCATTGATCATAACCTATTGCTGAAAAAACGTATGTTTTATGGATTTGCATCCTCTGCTTATTATGGATTGAGAGTTACCTATCTAATAGAACACAGAGGGTTTCCTAGCAGCCTGCTAGGGCCATTATTGTTTTTTGTTTTTACAAATGACCTTCCACTGACCTTGAATAAAGCCTGTGTGTCTATGTACGCTGATGACTCAACAGTATACACGTCGGCTGCAACAGTAACATAGAGTTCCAGTCAGTTTTAGAATGGGTAACTAGCAAAAGGCCGGTGCTAAATTTCTCAAACTAAAAAGCATAATCTTTGGGACAAATCACTCGTGCAACGCTAAACCTCATTTAGATCTATTATTGAATAATGTGGCTATTGAGCATGTTGAGGAGACTAACCTGCTGGGTGTAACCCTAGATAGCAAGCTGTCATGGTCAAAACATATAGAGTAAATGGTTGCTAAAATGGGAAGAGGTCTGTCCATGATAGGGCGTTGCTCTGCCTTCTTCACATCTCTGTCGACCTACAGTCCCTAGTTTTTTCGCACCAGGACTACTGCCCAGTTGTGTGGTCATGTGCGGCAAATAAATATTTGTATATATCTTGTATTGTAATTTGCACTGTACTATGGATGAGACCTATATATTGTGTGTATGTACTGATATGTAGGCTGTGTGCCGTTTTACATTTACAGTGCATTCGGAAAGTATTCAGACCCCTTCCATTTTTCCACATTTTGTTACATTAGCCTTATTCTAAAATGGATTTAATTTAAAAAATGTCCTGATCAATCTACACACAATACCCCATAATGACAAAGCGAAAACAGGTTTTTAAACATTTTGCAAATGTATTAAAAATAGAAACACACTTATTTACGTAAGTATTCAGACCCTTTGCTATGAGACTCGAAATTGAGCTCAGGTGCATCCTGTTTCCATTGATCATCCTTGAGATGTTTCTACAACTTGATTGGAGTCCACCTGTGGTAAATTCAACTGATTGGACATGATTTGGAAAGGCACACACCTGTCTATATAAGGTCCCACAGTTGACAGTGCATGTCAGAGCAAAAATCAAGCCATGAGCTTGAAGGAATTGTCCGTAGAACTCCGAGACAGGATTGTGTCGAGGCAGAGATCAGGGGTACCAAAAAGATTTGGCAGCATTGAAGGTCCCCAAGAACACAGTGGCCTCCATCATTCTTAAATGGAACAAGTTTGGAACCACCGAGATTCTTCCTAGAGCTGGCCGGCCGGCCAAACTGAGCAATCTGGGGAGAAGGGCCTTGGTCAGGGAGGTGACCAAGAACCCGATGGTCACTCTGACAGAGCTCCAGAGTTCCTCTGTGGAGATGGGAGAACCTTCCAGAAGGACAACCATCTGTGCAGCACCACCAATCAGGCCTTTATGGTAGAGTGGCCAGACGGAAGCCACTCCTCAGTAAAAGGCACGACAGCCCGCTTGGAGTTTGCCGAAAGTCTCCTAAAGGACTCTCAGACCATGAGAAACAAGATTCTCTGGTCTGATTAAATCAAGATTGAACTCTTTGGCCTGAATGCCAAGCATCACTTCTGGAGGAAACCTAGCACCATCCTTACGGTGAAGCATGGTGGTGGCAGCATCATGCTGTGGGGATGTTTTGCAGCAGCAGGGACTGAGAGACTAGTCAGTATCGAGGGAAATATGAACGGAGCAAAATACAGAGAGATCCTTGATGAATAACTGCTCTAGAGCGCTCAGGACCTCAGACTGGGGCAAAGGCTCACCTTCCAACAGGACAACGACCCTAAGCACACAGCCAAGACAATGCAGGAGTGGCTTCGGGACAAGTCTCTGAATGTCCTTGAGTTGCCCAGCCAGAGCCCGGATTTGAACCCGATCTAACATCTCTGGAGAGATTTGAAAATAGCTGTGCAGCGACGCTCCCCATCCAACCTGACAGAGCTTGAGAGGATCTGCAGAGAAGAATTGGAGAAACTCCCCAAATACAGGTGTGCCAAGCTTGTAGCGTCATACCCAAGAAGACTTGAGGCTGTAATCGCTGCCAAAGGTGCTTCAACAAAGTACTGAGTAAATGGTCTGAATACTTACAGTATGTAAATGTGATATTTGGGGGGGGGGGGGGGGGGGGGGTTTAAATATAAATTGTGTGTAGCTTGATGAGAAGAAAAAAAGTTTATTCAATTTTAGAATAAGGCTGTAACGTAACAAAATTTGGAAAACGTCAAGGGGTTTGAATACTTTCCGAATGCACTGTATTTCAGTCCTTGACTAATAATGTTCTGTACTATGTATTATGTAATGTTTCATATGGACCCCAGGAAGAGTAGCTGATACTTCTGCAGTGGCTAATGGGGATCCTAATAAATACCGAATACCAACGTATCTGTGACCGACAGATGCATATCTGTATTTCCAGTCATGTGAAATCCATAGATTTTTTTTCAATTGTCTGATATCTGTATATGAATTGAAACTCAGTAAAATCTTTGAAATTGTTGCATGTTGCATTTATATTTCAACTTTTCTTCTAGTCTTAGCTTGCTGATATTTACTCCTGGTTGCTTAGTGGACAAAAACTGTAACATTAGCTTGCAAAGTTTGAACATCGCGGTCACCTGTACATATCAGTTCCTCACTTCATCATCTTCTCTCTGTCCTCCCTGCAGTCTAACCTGGGAGAGCAGCCTTCTCTCACCACCTTGGTGGGCCGTGTGATCATCCTGGCCGATGTCAACAAGGATGGCAAGGTGTCCCTGGCGGAAGCCAAGTCTGTGTGGGCTCTCCTCCAGATCAACGAGTTCCTTCTGATGGTAGCCCTGCAGGAGAAGGAGCATACCCCCAAACTGCTGGGCTTCTGCGGGGACCTGTACGTGACTGAGCACGTGGGCCACAGGTGAGGACCACTTTGGAAATGAGGGTTTTAATTAAAGAACGACTGTACTGGCTGATATTAATTGGTTTTGTCCTCGTAATTTTCAAGAAATGCCACTGCAAACAAGACTATACTCTGGGCATAAATGCACATCTTGTTGGTGTATGTATTATTTTTTACCTAGAAATAACATTCCATTCAATCTACAGCTCCCTCTACAGACTGGAGGTGCCCAGCTACCTGCAGGCATTAGTCCCGGAGGCCCTGAGCTCCAGCCTGAACCAGTGGTTGGCCCCGGCGTGGCCCCGGAGGGCCCGCATCACCATCGGCCTGCTGGAGTTCGTAGAGGAGGTAAAGATAAGATTATGGGAAGAGCCATAGAGATAGATGACTCAACTTTGTACATGTGCCATTATAGCGCCTGTGACAGCATGGGCAACGCCATTGAGGCCATCTCCATTTTAAAGTAGTCAATTTTCTTCACGATTGGCTGATCCCTCCTGATGACCTGGTTGAACATGACTCCAACAGGGTCACTAGGAGGGATCAGCCAATGAAGTTGGAAGTCCCACCCAGTTGAGTACTTTAAAATGGTGGAAGCCCTCAATGGCGCTGCCCATGCTAATATGACCTTTTGGCCACTAGAGGCCTCTATCATTCTCTGATTATCCCCATTAGGACATTTTGGTTGCGGCTCTGTGAATACATAACACATATCAAGCATAGACAAAGGACAGACAATTACAGAATAAATACAATCATAGGGAATAGAAAAAGTGTAGTTGATGTCTGATTCATAATGATCTGTACACTAAACATCTGTACCCCATCAACTACAAAAACAGGTGTTCCACGGGGCCTACGGCAGCTTCCTGATGTGTGACGCCAGCCCGCGCCACGTGGGGTACAACTTCAAGTATGACTGCAAGATGGCAGACCTGCGCAGCGTGGCATCCGAGATGGCGGTCCGCGGGTTCCTGCGGGGGCGTCGCTGCGAGACCAACGCTGACTGCACCTTCGGGCGTGACTGCACTGCCACCTGCGATCGGTTGGTGAAGCAGTGTAACACAGAGGTGGTCCAGCCCAACCTGGCCAAGGTGTGTGTGCTGCTACAGGACTATCTGCTGTCCGGGGCACCCCAGGACCTCCGCATAGACCTGGAGAAGCAGCTCCGTACCTGTGTGACGCTCAGCGGCCTGGCCAGCCAAATGGAGGTGCACCACTCGCTGGTCCTCAACAACCTCAAGACCCTGCTATGGAAGACCATCTCCAACACACAGTACTCCTGAGGACCACAGAAGAGATGCTGGGAGCCATAAGTAGGCCTGGCTTGTATTAATTTGGCACCAAATAGAGGAAAATGGATTGAAACGAATGGACAACCCAAAGTTGTCCAGTAAGAAATGCAAATGTTAACTGTTACAAAATAATTTGCTACGGTATGCCCTAATGAATACAACCGTCATTTTTCCTTAGTCCGAACTCAACCAGGAAAAGAACGCCAGGACCTACCCATAAGAGTGAAGCAGGTCCAAACTCTAACCTTTTCATTTACCCTAGAGGTACTTGTACTCACTGAATAGGTAATATGAGGGCCTGACTGCCATTGCAGCTAAGGAAAATGTTACCTCTTCCCCTCCTACCCTACTTTTTTGGGGCCGTTACAAGACATGCCAAAAGCTTGAGTAAAACAGACTAGTAAATCACTGACTGAAAGTGAAACTGAATTGCGATCAGATGGATTATGATTTAAAAGTACAGGCAAGTTTATTTTTATGGAAGGATTCTTTATTTTGTGATGCAGGTGTATTCTCAGGGCCTTGCCTGTGTAATGGTAATTTATTAACTGTACAGTATTGTACTTTAAAGAGTAGTTATTCAGTGTATCACTTCTATCAGGGAATGTCAATGTAGAGGTGTAGTGCCATGAAAATATTGGAGTGATGTAACATTATGTGGAAAAATGACTATTTTATCTTTGTGTGAATGATCCATCAGACAAGGTCAAATGAGATGGAAACATGGAGAGCTCACTTTGGCGCTTTTGTGATAGATCGTAACCAATCTGTATTGCTCAGATAAATTAAAAAAAGAACTACAAACGATGGCAATTTTCTAGACTAAAGAAATAGAAGTATCAGTATTTTATAAATTATACAACGGGTGGGTCTATTCCTGAATGCTGATTGGTTAAAACCGCATTCCAGCCGGTGTCTATTCCACAAGATAACACTGGCTAAATTATTACGTTAAAATGCCTATTTACTATGTTCCATCTGATTCCGCAATCCACTGTCACATCAGCCCAGCCAAGCAATTTATAAACTTCATCCACCATAAAAGGCATCTAGACATTATCTCACATTTCTTTTAGACTAACATTTAGTTAATACCGGAGACTTTTATAAACCTTGCTGTCTGTCTCTCCGACATTTGCAACATTGTTTCAATATTAAAATTCTATCTCCAGCTGTCCCATAGTAATGAACAGGTCAGGAGTCGCGACGAGACAGGCAGGGTTTCTCAGCCAGTCGAAATCATGAATCAGCTGGCATCATTTTTATGGATATATACACAAAGAAATGTCAATTGAAAAAAGGTAAAATGAAACGCAGCTAGTTTGCAGTCTTTCCAGCTTCAGTTTGAAGTGATTGTGTTAGCTAGCTCCTCTGAACAACAGTGTCCTGACAAGAGAGCATATTTTCTATGCCAGGCAAAATCACACCTCATTAGCTCATTGTTATGGATGCATCCTAATAAATGTCACTAGAAAACAGCTTAAACAAATGCAAATGCAGCTGTTATTCTGGCTGCACTGTTTGATGTGATTAAGTTAGCCATAGTAGGCTAGCTAGCAAGCAAGGGATAAGGACGTTACCAGCCAGCATGGCAATGGAACATTTAGAACGAACGACTGGGTCGCATCCATAGATGCAGAACAAAAAGACTGAACGACTAGGGCGCGTCTCTGGCAACCGAACCACCAGCCGGCTTGGGTAGCAACCCTAGATTTGTGTTGGAACTATATCTTGTGGAAGGATGAAATAGTATGAATAAATTCATCAAAATAATATTTTGAATATTACAATCATTATTTGAATATGTTGGTAACCCGTTGTATAAAAGTAATAATGCACTTAAAGCCGGTGTTTGGAGGATATATTGGCACGGTTTTCCGGCCCTCGACTTAGTCTCGGGCCTAACACCCATGCCAATATATCCTCCAAACACCGGGTTCCCGGGCATTATCACTTAAGGGTAACCTTAAAGCTGTCCGTTACCATTATGTAGTCCGTCCTGCCAGTATTTCGCAATTCACATTCCAACTATCCATGTTCTCACCTCAATTTCCATCCATCTTACCATGGCACCATATATTCATTTTACAGTTGCACTGTGTCGGTAGTTACATTGTAATAGTGACGTCCCATGTTTGGCCATCTGAAGGGAAACGCTCATAAGAAGAAAAAAAACAAAATCAACCAGTGAGATCAGCATTAGCTTGAAAGTTGCATCATGATAAAAGTGATACTAAAAACATAAACCATTAGGCATTTTTATTCTTCAAATCCAACAGGGTAAATTGGTTCCAAATACTAGACTAAAGAAATAAAGGGTACAGAGTCCAGAGGTTAACGTGATCAGATATAACACAGTGGGCCATGGTAAAACAGAACTCATCATCCATCTATCTAAATGCCCAGATACAGTGCCTATCATTTTCATTAAGATTCTACCAACTTTGCACAACTCTTTGGCAACATGCTCAGTGTACAAAAGAGTAGGAACACCTTCCTAATATCGCGTTGCACACCATTTTGCCCTCAGAACAGCCTCAATTTGTCGTGGCATGGACTCCACAAGGTCTCAAAAGCGTTCCACAGGGATGCTGGCCCATGTTGACGCCAACACGTCCCACAGTTGTGTCAAATTGGCTGGTAGTGGATCGCTATGACGAATAGATCATTCCATCTCATCCCACAAATGCTCAATTGGATTGAGATCTGGTGACTGGGCAGGCCACTGCAGTAAACTGAATGCAGTCATGTTTGTGGAACCATTCCCGGACATTTACATTTACATTTACGTCATTTAGCAGAAGCTCTTATCCAGAGTGACTTACAAATTGGTGCATTCACCCTATAACCAGTGGGATAACCACTTTACAATATTATTATTTTTTAAGGGGGGGGGGGGGGGGGGGGGGGGGGTAGAAGGATTACTTTATCCGGACAATCCTAGCCTTGTGGCATTATCCTGCTGGAAAAAAATAATTCACAGATGGATACACTGCTGCCATGAAGGGTCCTCTGTAGCTTGGTAGAGCATGGCGCTTGTAACGCCAGGGTAGTGGGTTCGATCCCCGGGACCACCCATACGTAAATATGTATGCGCACATGACTGTAAGTCGCTTTGGATAAAAGCGTCTGCTAAATGGCATATTTAAGGGTTGCACCCGATTGGCAATGATGTTTATATATCCTGTGGCATTCAAACATTGCGCCACTTATCAATGGGCCCAATGTGTGCCATAAAAACAGCCCACAACACCAGCCTGCAATGTTGACACGCTGCATGATGGATGCATGTATTCATGTGATTGTCTCCATACCCTAGTCCTCCCATCAGCGTGAAACTGCAGGAACCGGGATTCATCAGACCAGGCAATGTTTTTCCAATTCTCTAGGGTTTGTTCCTTAGCCCACTGCTACCAGTTTATTTTTTTGTGCTGAAAGTGGAACTCCAAGGTCGTCGGCTGCCATACCGCATTCATGTCAAGGTACGACAAGTCGTGCATTCTTATGGGTCTTTGGGCACCAATGTTGTACTGGACTGTCAGTAGACTAACTGTAGCCCGTCTGTTGCGTTGCACAATTCAGGTCAGCCTCCTTTGCCCTCTTTCATCAATGACCCATTTTCAGCCACTGGCCGGATGTCCTTTGGGTGGTGGACCATTCTTGATACACGGGAAACTTGAGCGTGAAAAACCTAGCAGCATTGCAGTTCTTGACAAACCAATGCGCCTGGCAGCTACTACCATACCCCATTCAAAGGCACTTAAATATTGTCTTCTTGCACCCTCTGAATGGCACACAAACACAATCCATGTTTCTAAAGCCCTAAAAATAAAATCCAAAATAAAATTGTATTGGTCACATACACGTTTAGCACATCTCCTCACCGTTATTTACACAGATTGAAGTGGATTTAACATGAGACATCAAGGGCTCAGCTTTCACCTGGTCAGGCCATGTCATGGAAAGAGCAGATGTTCTTAATGTTTTGTACACAGTGCATGTTGCCATAAGAGTTGTGCAAAGTTGGTAGAATCTTATTCCAAATGATTCACAACTAATGGCTGCCAAAGGTGCTTCCAAGTATTAACTCGGGGTGGAAGACTTATCCAAATTATGATATTTCAGAGTTTTATTTTTGTTAAATTTTCTATAAACTTTCACTTTGAAAATGTGGATTAGGTTGTGTAGATCTGTAGGAATAAAATGAAATGTAATCCCTTTAGATTTAACTTTAAGGCAGCAAAACAAAACAGGGCCCTATGCTATAGAAGATCCCACCGTAAACAGGCAAGGGTGTGGCCTGCTCAAACCTTTTTCTACTATCACCTTGAATCTTCAACTTTGAAACTGGACACATCTTGGCTTCTTCATCACATCTGTCATCTGTCAAAGAATCAGGAAATGGGTGAGAAAATGACTGCCAAAAGAACCCTGTCAATCCTCCAACATTTCCAAGAAAAGTAAACCTCAGATCAAAGTGAATCAAAACTCTAAGTCTTGGACAAATGGCAATTACCGGTCAGTAAACAAATGAGCGTTGGCACAACAGAAGAAACAAAACTGGTGAGGGATCTTGAAGGAAAATTCTACCCAAAAACTTTTGGTATTTGTTTCTTTAGTCCATTGTTGACATAGTCCCAAAATGATTTACTTACAGTGGGGAGAACAAGTATTTGATACACTGCCGATTTTGCAGGTTTTCCTACTTACAAAGCATGTAGAGGTCTGTAATTTTTATCATAGGTACACTTCAACTGTGAGAGACGGAATCTAAAACAAAAATCCAGAAAATCACATTGTATGATTTTTAAGTAATTAATTTTGCATTTTATTGCATTACATAAGTATTTGATCACCTACCAACCAGTAAGAATTCCGGCTCTCACAGACCTGTTAGTTTTTCTTTAAGAACCCTCCTGTTCTCCACTCATTACCTGCATTAACTGCACCTGTTTGAACTCGTTACCTATATAAAAGACACCTGTCCACAC